TCTCCCACCTTCCCACCCCCAAGTAACCCCATGAGTTGTCAGGCCTTTTGCTCCTTACTGTGAAGACATTTTGTGGGTCCTTCTCAGACCTGCCCTCAGCAAAGGTGAGGTGTGCAGAAGAATAAATCTTCAACAGTATAATTTTAGACACTGTGGCAACTGGGAAGGGCAGCTATTTTTGGCTGTGGGGCTTTCTCCTTGACCTGAGATGATATGCTTCGCCTGCTGCTAGTGTGCCCAGCCAACCCTGCACACAGTCCTTTCAGCAACGTGTTTGCCATTCCTGAGAGTGGCTTCTTCATTTTCTTGCTGAGCAGTTCTGTGCTTATCTGTGATTCTGTGCATTTGGGCAAGGATGTGAACCATCCACGAGTGCACACCTAGGCTTGTAGCATGCTGACCCGCCGAGGTGGTGGTCTGGGCCACCCCCAAGGGGCATCACAGTTAGAACAGACTCCCTTCCACATGGGGGGGTGGGGCAATCTTCCAGCTTCTGCATGACCCTCAGCCTCCACGCTTTATCAGCTGCTCAGTGACTGTCCTGTGAGTCACTCCCTCTCCAGCCAGACAAGCCAGGTGGGTCTTGAGGTCGCAGTGTCCAAGTTCTGCCACCTACGCCACTTGCATAAGGATCTGAGGCTGCACCCTCACAGAAGTTCTTCTGACCACCCTGCTTGCTGTCTTCCCACTCAAGCTCCTGATGCAGCTGCTGTCTGCAGACCCCTGTATTGCCCAGGGAAGTGAGTCAGAACTCCTGCAGCAGTGGGAGGAAGAGCTACAAGAAGATTCAAAGGTGGCCAAAAATAACAGTGCTTTCCAGATGAGGACAATATTATAGCCAAGATCATCACCGGGGTAGGGAATCTTTTTCTTTGTTTTATAACCTAAAATGTACATGGAAGACTTGAAGATCATGCAGGAAGGACGAATAAAGTCCATAAAAGACAGGAAAATGGGAATAGTTGTTTTTAAAAAAAGGAATTAAATTTCTCTATGGCCAAAGAGAGAAAACAGAAAATCAGAGGCCTTTTACAGGTATGGAGAGAGCCCTAGCTCTCTGAATTGTAGCTCTCTCTTCTCCAACACCCCTGGACATATTAAAAGGGGAGAATTCTGGATTTGGGCGATGGGGAGAGAAAGAGAGAGAGAGAGAGAGAGAGAGAGAGAGAGAGNGGAATTAAATTTCTCTATGGCCAAAGAGAGAAAACAGAAAATCAGAGGCCTTTTACAGGTATGGAGAGAGCCCTAGCTCTCTGAATTGTAGCTCTCTCTTCTCCAACACCCCTGGACATATTAAAAGGGGAGAATTCTGGATTTGGGCGATGGGGAGAGAAAGAGAGAGAGAGAGAGAGAGAGAGAGAGAGAGAGGCACTAGGGTCTAAGGAGAGTCTGACCAATAAACAGAAAATAATGGAGTAACGTAAGGCAAAAAAGGAGAAAAAGATCAAGAGACAATGTTGCCTTCCCTTCTCTGGTACTGAACTAAATTTAGTAGATATTTATTGAGGACCAACTATGTCTAGTCCAGTTATCTATGTCTGCATGTCAAATGACCCTAAAATTTATTAACTTAAAGCCACAATAAATATTTCATTATCGTCTTTCATGGTTCTGAGAGTTGAGTGGGATCAGCGGGGTGGTTTTCAGGCAGTCTTTCATGAGGCTGAGTTCTGGAGTCCTTGCTAAGGCTTCCTCACCCAAAATGCCTGACAGTTAGTGTTGGCCACTGCAGCAACCAACCTCAGCTGGGACTGTCAGCTGGGACACCTGCACGTGGTCATTCCATGTGGTCTGAGTTTCCTTATAGCATTTCATCCTGGAGCTCAGCTATGGCCACTCAGTGCTCCAAAGGTGAGTGTCCCAAGAGAGCAAGGTAGAAGCTGAAGCATCCTCTTTGGCCTTTCCAAATCACATGCTTTGTTGGTCCACCAGTCACTAAGGTCAGCTCAGATTCAAGGGCAGGGCACATAGATGCCACCTCTGGATTTGAGGAGTGTTAAAGAATGTGTAGACAGGTCTTAAAACTGCTAAAAAGTCCAATCATGATGTCAGATGTTCCCCACCTCCAGGAGCTTCCAATGTAGTTGGAGCTAGAAAGGTCAATTAAGTATTCAATGGAAAGTAATGAAATATCCATTCACCAGGTGAACAAGGTGACAGTAGAGTGTGTACCAAGTGGGACACAAGATGAACACTTGCATGCATAGAAATCGTAAGCAGAGCTGGGTTAGGAAGGCCTGTGGCCACTTATCATTTGGAGAGCATTGAAGCAAATGGCTACCACTCCCTGGCTTTGGAGTGCAGGTCCTTGCTGGCTTTCTTTAAGCCCGTATGTTTGTTCTCAACAACTTATTTTCTTGTTCCTTATCTTCTCTTTCCTTGCTTCACCTTGGTCCTGACAGCTGTCCTTTCTTTCAACTACATTATCCTGTTATGGTCCTAAAACTCTTTCCCATTGCTTTCTGTCCCTTGGCCATGACTATCTTTTCTGTGCATGAACAAGACTTACCTGCCAGTCCCTTTCCTGCAAATTTGCTGCTCTGTTGCCATTTCTTAGACGAATGAACTTTTCTCTGCCCTTCCTTGGCTCATTCCGCAGTTGACTGCTTCAAATACNCCTCATTACATGTCCTTAGTTTTCCTCTGTCCCAGCAGAATAGGCCTATGCCATTTCATGTCGCCTCTTGTTATTTTTTTTAATTGCCCCTTAATGTACCTTTTCCTGGCTGAGAAAGGAAGTGTTAGTTACAGAAACGTCCGGTTAGTTATTCTATAAATCAGGACTCACATTTCTTGAATCCCTGTGTTCTGTAATTTGGAAGACCGTTGCAGTAGACAAAGCAGGGGATTTAGACTCAAGTTTTAAGACCTGAGCATGTTCCCAGCTAACTAGCTGTATGGCTTTGGGTAAATCAACTAATTGCTCTCATGCAAAGTGTTCTGTCTTATAAAAATGGGAGTAAAACTTCCTTCCTTCGTAGGCATTGGACCACTGTAGGCAAAGTTACATGGAAGTTCCTTATAAACTACCTAGTGGTGTAGAGAATGTTGGTTATTCTCACAGGAGGGACTCAGGTGTTCTCAGCATTCTTTGGTCATTCATTCTTTCCTTTCTCTCTTCCTTGTTTTCTCCATTCCCTATTTTATCCCTGCTTCTGCCCAAAGCTCTCTAGTGGCATCCATGGAACTCGGCTTTCTGCCCTGAAGATGGCTTGAGCAGGGTGGATTTACCTTTCTGAAATTCTTGACTATTTCATAAGGACTATAAAAATGGAATCAGGTGGAGCTGTTGTGTGTTGATACAGTGGCCTGGATGTGGGTTTCGAATACTGATTGTTTATTTTTATTTTGTTTACTTCTTAATCTTCTGGGGTCAGGCTAACCAATCTTCTCTATATAAAGACAAAGTCCTTGCCTGAATTTCTGAGAGAATCTTCCCCCAGAAGCTGAGACTTTGGTTGAAATGACCTCATTACATGTCCTTAGTTTTCCTCTGTCCCAGCAGAATAGGCCTATGCCATTTCATGTCGCCTCTTGTTATTTTTTTTAATTGCCCCTTAATGTACCTTTTCCTTTTTTTTTTTTTCCGTTTAGGCAATTTGAAGTAGAGGCATGTGCAGCTCTGCATAATAATGTATTATGAAGGCATTTCAAGGAATACATTATTAGGATTGTTTACATGCATGGTTCAAATTTACTGGCAAATTGCTTAGGCCTCGGTTTTATGATGAAGCTGCCAGCGAGGCCCCTCCTGGCAAAACTCTGAAACAGGAGAAGCTACCCTTCGCCTTTTGTCACCAGCACTTCCTCCACCTTGTGCCCTCCCTTTCAACATCTCCCACCTTCCCACCCCCAAGTAACCCCATGAGTTGTCAGGCCTTTTGCTCCTTACTGTGAAGACATTTTGTGGGTCCTTCTCAGACCTGCCCTCAGCAAAGGTGAGGTGTGCAGAAGAATAAATCTTCAACAGTATAATTTTAGACACTGTGGCAACTGGGAAGGGCAGCTATTTTTGGCTGTGGGGCTTTCTCCTTGACCTGAGATGATATGCTTCGCCTGCTGCTAGTGTGCCCAGCCAACCCTGCACACAGTCCTTTCAGCAACGTGTTTGCCATTCCTGAGAGTGGCTTCTTCATTTTCTTGCTGAGCAGTTCTGTGCTTATCTGTGATTCTGTGCATTTGGGCAAGGATGTGAACCATCCACGAGTGCACACCTAGGCTTGTAGCATGCTGACCCGCCGAGGTGGTGGTCTGGGCCACCCCCAAGGGGCATCACAGTTAGAACAGACTCCCTTCCACATGGGGGGGTGGGGCAATCTTCCAGCTTCTGCATGACCCTCAGCCTCCACGCTTTATCAGCTGCTCAGTGACTGTCCTGTGAGTCACTCCCTCTCCAGCCAGACAAGCCAGGTGGGTCTTGAGGCTAGACGAATGAACTTTTCTCTGCCCTTCCTTGGCTCATTCCGCAGTTGACTGCTTCAAATACATATTTTCATTTTGGTTTTATGGCATCTCTTGCCTTCTAAAATCATATCTTCTATTCCATGTGACTCATGCCCTTCTTCTCTGCTCTGACTTCTCTTATCCTAGGAATCTGTTGCCCAACACAGTGTCACAGGCCAACGAACCCTGGTGCACACAGTGCCCAGCATCTCCACCAGATACAGCTTTGACATCTTCATGGCAAGACCTTGCTCCAATACAAGGACTTTCAGGTGGGGTTTGCTGTCCGGCTGCTAACCTTTGTTCTAGACGAATGAACTTTTCTCTGCCCTTCCTTGGCTCATTCCGCAGTTGACTGCTTCAAATACGTATTTTCATTTTGGTTTTATGGCATCTCTTGCCTTCTAAAATCATATCTTCTATTCCATGTGACTCATGCCCTTCTTCTCTGCTCTGGCTTCTCTTATCCTAGGAACGTGTTGCCCAACACAGTGTCACAGGCCAATGAACCCTGGTGCACACAGTGCCCAGCATCTCCACCAGATACAGCTTTGACATCTTCATGGCAAGACCTTGCTCCAATCCAAGGACTTTCAGGTGGGGTTTGCTGTCCGGCTGCTAACCTTTGTTTGGTAAGCATTTCCTTCATTCCATCATCACTAAAAATACTTTCCTCTTTATTTGGGACCTTAGTCTCCAAATACCACCCAGTCTGGACATTCACTTTTTAATCCCCATGTAGGTTGGGTCCCTTTTCTGCCCTTAGTACAAAAATGATATATGTCCACTGTAGAAAATTTAGAACACATAGAGAACCAAAAGTAAGAAAACAAACATGGTAGATATAAACATTGTTAATACTTTGATGTGGAATGTTATTCTCTTTTCTATAATTCTGGTTTTTATGTGGAAGAAATAGCATCATCACTTTGATGGCCAGTGCTTTCTGCTAAGCCCCTTAGTGTTTTAAAGAGCCAGTTCTGTAGATCTCTAGTCCCTCGCCCCAGCTGATTAGAACAGGGCTGAACATCTGGCCCCAGCTGGGCTAGCACCTGCTTTTTCCTTGGGATTAAATTAGATGGCATTCAGGAGGGAGGATTAGATGTGGGATTAGAATTTGCACCTTGAAACCTAAAGCTTTCCTAGAGAAGATGATTTGCAAGAGACAAGTAGAGGAGACAGTGAAAATTGGAGAAAGAGATGAAGAGTTCTAGGGGCAGAGACTCATTATTATTGGTCCTACGTCTTGTTTCTGTGGGCTAGCTTTGTATCCTTGTCTCAAATCCATCTTCGAAGGAACGATATCTATGGAATTCTGATATTTTCACCTAGCAATGCCTGTACAAGGTGACACGTTTTTGTAGACTGCTTTTTTCACTGAATAATACATTATACATTTTTTTCTATATCATCGTATATTCTCCTAGATTGTAATTTTGATGACTGCACAGTGACTACTGTGGATGTCCCAATATTTATGGGAGAAGTGTAATTTATGGGAAAAGTTTGAGCTTGGTGTTAAATAGTACTGAGTTCAAATGCCTGCCCTGACCCTTGTTTGCTGTGTGATTTGGGCCAATTATTTAAATACTGTATGTCTCAGTTTCCAATCTATAAGATGGACATAACAAAATAGGTTAAATAATATGGTAAATCAGAAAGTTATCAGCATATTACCTGTTATATAAATAAGGGTTCAGTAGATTTCACCTGTTATTATTAATAATCATAAAATTAGTCCTCTATTACTGTTCATGTAATAGCCTCTTATTATCAACATTATAGACAGACCTGCAATAAACATCCTTACAGTCAAATATTTGTGCACTATTATTGCTTCAGATCAATGCCCAGAGGTTGCAATATGGGATCAAAGATTATGGGCATTAAAAACCTTTTTAAACATGTATTGTCATTGCTGTCACTGAATCTTCTAAGTTGTCCACCACCCCAGCCTTTAGCAACTTCTTGCCCACACATTTAGAGACAGCATATTTCCCTCTGTGACCAGGATGTGATCCATCTATACCCACCTTCCAATAGCATTAAAATATTGCCACATCTGCCATTTGAGCCAGAGCTCTTTCAGGTAAATTTAATTGATTCATTTAGCTATTAAATGTCAAGTATAGATTAAGTTTATATATAGACTAAGTTTGTAGATTAGGTTTATATTTTGAGAGTTGACTCCATTGTTGCTAACCATGGAGTGAGCTTTGCAGCCATTGTAGGAAGAGTTCCAGGTGTTTCTAAGAAAGTCAGATATTGACTAAGGCTTACAGTTTTTATAAAATCTTTTCTTTCTTTAAAAAGGAACATTTGGAATATGAAAATCTTTATCTTTTTACCTGCCTAGAATAACCTCCCATGTGCAGACCCTACCCTGGCTTCAAGGCTCAGGAAAATATTAATATAAAATTTAGTGAGATGTTTCTTTGAGCCTCCCACTGTGCTGGGCTCTTTGGGAAGACAAAAATACCTCTACATGGTCCCTATCCTCAGGGAGCATGGTGTGTTGGTGGAGTAGATCTATAAACAATTACAGGGAAAAGCTAAACTTGCCAGAATGGTAGTGTGCACCTGTAAGGAGATCCCAGAATAAGGTGTTGCAAGAATCGAGGTCTGCATATAGTTAACCATTTGGTCCACAGCAGGTTATGTTTAATCCAAAGTTACAGTATTTGAAAAAAGTTTTTAGTTGCCAACAGTGAACACCTGGAAACTGTAGGTAAAAATACAGATTTCTATCTTACCTTGAAAAAATGGAAGGATTGGCAATACTGAGCCCTCATTCCACCAGGGCAACAGTGAGGAATGGCTGACCTTTCCGCCAAGGAATAAGTTCTCCTTTTTGCCGCAGTTGCCACCACTCCCTACTGTTTGCCCTGTACTGCTTCACTTATTTATGCTATCTGTGTGGGTCATGTGAGTTTACAACCATGACATAGTGGAAAAGGGCCCTTGTTCTTTCACAGGATATCAGCAAAGGCTCAGAAAGATTTGCTGGAGGGGAGGCCTGCAGGATCAGCAGGAATTTGCTCTGTAGAGAAATAGAGGGTGGAGCAAAGCACCTAAGGCAGGTGCAGCAGCACATGCATGGTACAGGGCTTGAGCACGAAAGGCCTAAGTGGACAACGACAAGCAGGAAAGGCTGGCAAGGAAGATTGGTGTTTGAGGGAAGGGATGGAGAGAAAGAATTAGCGAAGTATACGAGCACCAGTTTCTGAAAAGCCTGGCAAGCCAAAATAAGGACTTTAGATTCTGACCTGTAAAAACTAGATTGGATGATGGATAAGATAACAGCTGAGTTTCTAACAGTACCCTGACTCCATGCTGGCACTGCAAAGGACATGTGTGCAGACCCTTGCTAAATCCTGACCCCAAGCACCTGAGCTACCTCTTACAGATGAGAAAATGCTGGTAGAGGGAGATTAATTAAGTCACCTCCCCAAAGTCATGACCAGTAAATGGGAAAGCAGGAAGTGGACCCAGGCCTAAGTACAGAGCTTGCAATGCAGTTGTTAGGGTACCCACTCCCCAGATGGATCAGGGCTTCAGAACAATTTCTCGGGAAGCAAAGCCAGGGTTGCAGTGGGAGCGAGTGAGGGGAACGAGAAAGGGCAGAGCTGCTGGAGATCACTGCAGTGGCTGGGCAAGGGGACAGGAGGGCCTTCACCAATGCACCCTTAGTGCTGCTGCAGAGGAGGGGTAGACATGGGAAATGCTGAGCGAGATGGAACAGAGTTACCGTCCTTCATGGAGCCTGCCAGCCATGGGGTCTTCTCTTTTCCCCTTTGAATTCCCAAAGCACGTTCTGCCTCTTTCCCAAGACCTGCCTGGGCCATGTCCCCATACAGCTGTGTGCATCTTATCACATCTAGTATATTTTGAGTTGCTTAAGGGCAGGAGGAATTATGCTTTATTTGCCTTATTATAATTATTTTTTTTTGCATTGCTGAGAAGTGCTTTGATAAATGAATGAATTCCAAAATTATCTTTTTTAGATCATTTCTCCTTATGCTTGCCTTAAAAAAGTTAGTGGCAAGTTAAGTACTTTTTCTTTGAAAATATGAAAATAATTTCCGTACACAATCTACTTCAAACTATTTTAAAATATGAGGAAAAGTAAGATTGGGAAGTTGTTTAAAAACAGCAAACCCTTTGAGTCAGTGTCACATTTATTGCTATAAAATATTTTTCTCTCTCAGTTAGACATCTGGTTCCCATTACGTACAGTATTGGGTGCTCGAGTTCACTAGCCATTTTGCATACCAAGCAGCGTGCACGCCAAATCCCCACCGACACCCGCCACTCTGTATTTGCACCATGTAATTCTTTCTTTACATTTACAGACAACCCTTCTATCATCAACTTAATTCTTACCAATACATTTTTGGTTATTTTGTTCATACTTACCTTAAGGATCAAATTGCCTACATCTGAGAAATGAAGAACTTACAAAACCCTGGAGTCTTTGCTTTATGTCATTGTATGGTCCGACTATCTATAATCTAGCACTGAAATCAATGAAACATCTAAATCTTAAGTTTGTATTTCCTAGTAACATTGACCCAGAAATGAGAAACACAATATGGAATGTTTGCTAATGAGTCATGAATTTCATTATAATTGCTTCCATATTCAGGATAGCTCCCTTAAACCATCTAATCTTGACATATCCTGCAACAATCCCATGTGTTGTAAATGATTTTGTTTTATTTCTTAGGTTACTGTTAAGGGCTTATTTTCTGGTTCATTTCATTTTCTTAAAGAAAACCACACATGCATGTGTGTGCACATATACACACTCTGACATGCACATGCAAATGCACACACACACACCTCACTGTGGCATTTGCCTCGATCTGTATTTTTTCAAAATAAAATAATTATGCCACAAAAAAAGAGCCCTCATCGTTTGCTTTGGAAATAAGAATAAACACATTTAGGAAGAAAGTTGAAAATGGTCTAGTTTAGAGTTCTAGTTCAGGTCCCTGAGAATTAAAATCATAACTGAGCAATGCCTCATCCAGCAGCAGTCTGTTCTTTCCCTGGACTTAAGAATCTATAACAGAATGGACAGACATGGCCAGCATTCAGTACAGTAATAATGGAAAATTAAATACAACTTTTAAAAACTGTTCACATTATAAAGTGATCTATTAGCATTATACGATTTCAGCACTTAAAGTGACTGATTCTAATTGCAAGATTTGGCCCATAGCAAGCATTAAAGAGCTGCACGATCTTGAAGGTGTTTTATCTCTTTTGGAATATTTTAAAGTAGATTTTCGTTGGAATAAAGCTTTATTCCTGCCACACAAAACATTGTGTGGAAGAAATCTTTCAGTGCTGATAGAAACAGAGGTAATTATAGTTTCTTCTTCTTTGATTCATGAATCAATAAGATAAACACTTAAAATATTCTTGTATTTATTCTCCCTTTCTTTTACTAAATAAAACTCTGTCTCTATAGCTCGTGGATATTTTCCTGAAGAAGTAGAGATGTATGCTCTTCTCTAATGACCCTTTCTAGCAAGCTGAGAGGCACTCTTTTCCTGCACCTGGTAAACATATTGTATCCTTCAGAATCTCTTCTGGACAAGATGGTGGGTCTCTAAGATGAAACTAC